GTTCTGGCCTCATTCCACAGCACATTCTGGGGTCTTACAGGCGTATTTTCCATAGGTTCCGGCCTCATTCCACAGCACATTCTGTGGTCTTACAGGCATATTTTCCATAGGTTCCGGCCTCATTCCACAGCACACTCTGGGGTCTTACAGGCATTTTTTCCATTGGATTTGGAGGTCTTGTCTCTCGTCACCTATGTGCTCTGGGTGACAGGGTTACATGGCGGGGGGTTGAGGTTTTATCCCCCAGCTCCACAAAGGACCTGAAAACACAGCAACCTGCTGCTATTTCACACTCAGAACAGAGCTCAGCTCTTGAATTTATGAGAAATAAAACAATGGTTAATTCTACATGTATAGGGTAGCTGTGGCTGTCTATAAGCAGGGATTGACATGACTGGTACACAAGTATGCATTCACCTTTATAAGCGATACGTGTGGCAAATTAGCATATAAAGGTTAAAATGCATGATCATTTCTTTTCATATCGGCGCAAGTGCAGATAAAATACCTACGCATTCACGTGTACAACAATCGATTGCCGTATCGCTTTTAAAGGTGAATGCGTACTTGCGTAGCAGTCATGTCAATCCCTGTCTATAAGGCAGTTATATGCAGCTTATAAATATACCTCAATGATTATAATACATTTGTTACTTTTTTTAAATTTTCACTGGTGTCACGTGTCTGCATAGATCAGTGTGAGGAGGATCTACCCGTTTTTCTGGGTGTTTTGCTCACTGATTCCAGGCTCTCTTGCTCCCAGAGCTGTTCTTCAGTTTCTCGCCTCTTTGAGGCTCTGTCCCCTGTCCCCTGCAGACAGGCGAAATGCCCCCTCCCCAGGACACACAGGCAGATTACTGGCCCAGGACGATGCCATTAATGAAATGTGTGTGAATTACACCAACGTTTAAACCCTGCCTGTCCGCCTCATCATACTGTAATATGATATATGATGACCTGGAAAGTATGTCCCAACCTACCATCTCACTCCAGTCACGTCTCCCTCTGGGATCTCAGTAACAATTATGCCATTTCCCGAACGTGTCAAGTCAGGTCCAAGCACGAACACTTCCCAGTTACAGCAGAAGGAGATGGGTCTCAAAAAGTCCCTCGAGATGTCGAGTTCACGGAGAGAAATGGCATGTGGCTGAATGAGCGCCTCTAGCTTCAGTTAGCACCCGTACACAGAGGGATGGGGTTCCTCACCACTCTGCCCCAACACCGACAGACAGGACCGCTCCCTTCTAAATGTCAAGAAGAAGCTAAATGTTGCTTACCGGCTAATAAATATCAGGCGTTCTCAGTAAAGGGACATTTCCTCTGCCGTCTTTTCACTTTATGCCACATGATTTGCAATCCCCCACTATGGACAAAAGCCTGTGATCTTAGACCACCTACTGCTAAGCTGCCTGTTAGCTTAGCCCAACTACCAGTAAGCGGCCCGTTAGCCTAGCCCACTGTACCACTAAGAAGCCTGTTAGCGTAGCCCACCATGCTGCTTACTGGATTGTCAGCTTGGCCTATCGTACTAATATACAGCCTGTTAGATTAGCAGCCTATTTGCCCTCATGTGTCCACCATATGTCTGCCATGTAATGCACCTGACCACCCTTGTCCCATCCTGCTATGCAGCTGTCCCACGCACCAGTGACACTCAGTGCAGCTCAGTGCCAGAGCCCCGGTACGGAAGGCGGATTGGGTCTGAGTTCTCAGCCGGCTCTGTAGTCCGCTTCGAGTGCAACCCTGGTTACCTGCTGCAGGGATCGAAAGCCATCAAGTGCCATGCTGTCCCCAATGCACTGGCGCAGTGGAACGACACCGTGCCCATCTGTATAGGTGAGTTTCCATAAATGTGCATCATCTTAGACTGCTGTGAGATCCCGTCAGACTGGCTCAGTTGGATGACAGGCACCTTAGCCATCCCCATTTCCCCTGAACAAAGCAGTGACCACAGATTGAGTACTGCTGCCCTACTTCAATATTGAACACCACTGCCTTGTTCCAAGTCTAAATATGCAGCACACCCTGGATTGATGCTATACAGAATGTATGAATTAGCACTCTTTAAATGGTGTCCTTGTCCTGTGACAGTCGCCATGGAAATGCCCAGTGCTGGCTGTTTATTTCCATTTAAGTCTCTAAATCTCAGGGCTAAGGAGTGTTTACACGCTTCTCCAGGTGAACGACAGTGGTGGGGAGGGAACATGTGCTGCATTTAAACGAAGGAGTCTGTCGATGTGGAGGTGGAGGTTGTTTATTAAACAGAGACTGTTGATCTTACGGTGATGAAGATGAACTGGAGCCGTCCCGCAGTTCCCTATCGCTCTGCAGCCTATCTGACATGCATCGCTGATGTCACGCCAAAGACCTGTTACAGCTTGCGTGCCATAATCCTTAATTTCCAATTCCGATCTCCAACTTTATTAAGGATGCCCATGAACGATGATTTTGCAATTTTGCAGCATCCGCGGGGCATGATGGCATCACTGCATCGCTCCCCACAGTTTGTACATGAGCAGCAAAAAGGTCGGCGCTGCGGAGGAGAGAGCACCCTATTGAGGGCTGTCACACCCCTGTTCACCCCCCCCCCCCCCCATCTCTCCTCAGTACCATGCAGCGGAAACCTGACGGAGAGGAGGGGCACCGTCCTGTCGCCTGGATACCCGGAGCCATATGGAAACAGCCTGAACTGCGTCTGGAAGATCATCGTGAGCGAGGGAGCTGGCATCCAGGTGAAAACATGTAAACAAGAGAATAAAGGGCTCCTCCAAAAGGAAGCATGTCTGCACAGGAAATTTAATCAAGGCCGGGGTTCCCTTAATTAAATCACTGTGGCAGTAGTGTGTCCTGTGTATGTGACAGATCTCACTTTGTTCATGTCAGGAGTGTAGCAATTACACGATGATGTAGACAGTCACAGATGAAAGAATAATTTATTACACTTCTGTAATTGGCCCAAAGGCAGGCGGTAATTCTGTGTTACTGAAATGGACAGTATTGTATTGGATAATAACCGTCAAATTGCATTATGGGTGATTTAAAGCCTAGAACGAGCCACTGAGTCAGTACTGCTCCCTGAAGCATGTGTCACGGCTGTCCCCAGCGTGTTGTTTCAGCCTCCACATGCGTGTGTGTCCCAGTTTGACACCCACGGATTTCCGTTTCAGATCCAGGTGATGAGCTTCGCCACGGAGCACAACTGGGATTCCCTGGAAATCTACGATGGGGGAGACATGACAGCCCCCAAGCTGGGAAGCTTTTCAGGTGGGCTGTGACCCCCCCCCCCCTCCAGAAAATGAGCTGTACCCTCCTCTTGCTGTCACTGACAGGCTGCTAGTGCCCAGAACATTCCAGCCCAAAACGTTTAGCGTGGGATATAGTTACCAGAAAGCGGATTAGGTACGGGATTCATGTTTCACCCCCAAACATGAAAATGAAACGTGTGTGCGCTGCACAACTCCCCCTGGAGGTTTGGTGAGTGGGTAAACGCGGTGCCAGAAGACTCCCAGCCTAAAGCCCAGCCCAGGATCCACCTGATACACCACCCTTCCTGGATGCGGGTGGCAGCCGCTGATGCCATGAATGTGAGATCAAAGTCCCCTAGTGTGGCGGCGGGCGTGCCAGATGTGGCGGGCGTGGTGGACATGACGGACGCGGTGGGCATGACGGACGTGGTGGGCATGACGGATGTGGTGGGCATGACGGACGTGGCAGACATGGTGGGCATGATGGATGTGGTGGGCATGACGGACGTATCGGATGTGGTGAGCGTGGCGGACATGGTGGGTATGACAGACGTGGTGGCCGTGGCGGGCATGACGGATGTGGTGGCCGTGCGGGACGTACCGGATGTGGTGAGCATGGCGGACGTGGCGGACATGGTGGGTATGACAGGGCTCATGATTGGCTGACACTGATTTCTCTCATGAGTCACACTTGCACCGGTCCGTGTTTCTGGTTGCGGAGGTTTCTTCTTATCGCAAACAGAAGCAGATTGATTTGCAAAGGACTGGCGTGTGACTCTTGAGGAGTCAGGATGGCATCGCAGTTCAGGGAAGCCACTCCAGCCTTTGCAGGGCCCATGCTGCCCACCCCGTGTTGCTTTCTGCTTCTCATACTTCATAGAAGAAAAAAACATCTGGAACATTCCTCAGTGTGGCTGATGAAACAACAAGATGAGCTTCAAATGGGTTTCAGGGCTCAGAGAGGCCCTGCTCTCCCTCCGAGAGGGGACGGGGGGGGGGGCTGGGCAGTCCTGCAGGAGTGATTCCTTCACAGGCTCGTGATCAATGCGGCAGCGGCAGCAGTGAGGAGGTGTACAGAAGAAAGGTCAGACACCCAGAGGCGAGACTGTCTAGCTGTATGCCCCTCAATCCAGGGCGTACAGAGGCTAACATCTAAAAACAAACGATGATAACAGGAAACTTTGTGACGGCAGACACTCACCCTTTATTTCTGCTGGAGGCAAATGTGTCGTTATAGAATTTGGGGTGTGGAGTGACATTCCACAGAGTATGCAGGAGACAGACAGAAGGCTGATGATGGCGATGATGATGCCCCACCCCCTCCACATGTGGTGTTCTCATAATATAAAAACTAAAAAAACAGAACCTTAACATTGCGCATCTATGGAACATTTGTGTAAAATATTTAATTTCTTTCTACGATCCTGAATTCCTTCTCCAGGTGTCTGTGCCCCACCTACCCCCAGCTGTAATGCAGAAAGATACGGCAATAAAGGACAGGTGGAGTCGACTTGCTTGATCTCACTTTTATATAAGCTGAAATCACTGACAAATCCACTGGAGGGGACTTTGATCTCACATTTAAATAAGCTGAAATCACTGACAAATCCACTTGAGGGGACTTTGGTCTCACATTTATATAAGCTGAAATCACAGACAAATCCACTGGAGGGGACTTTGATCTCACATTTATATGGGCTGAAATCACTGACGAATCCACTGGAGGGGACTTTGATCTCACATTTATATGGGCTGAAATCACTGACAAGTCCACTGGAGGGGACACCAGCGTAGGCCGACCTGGGGCTGCTTTCAGTATATTTACACGATAAGAAAAAACTGCTCTGTTATTTTGCAGCATCCCATAAACATAAATGTCAGCCAGCATTACAGGCTTTTCGATTAAGTTCCCTTTAAAGTCAGATGATGACAGTGTGCATTGCAAGCTACAGCTTAAAGTTACTTCAAGGGCACTGAAGTTACTCGCTGGACCCGTGGCAAACTTTAAGAGCAAATGTCTGTAAAAATTTCAAAGGGTTTCTACCCCCCCTGCTTTTTCATTCTTTTCATTTGGACGACCTCCAGATGTACAACCAGGAGAGAAACTCACAGAGAAAGGCCTGCTGTTCCAAATGTCAGCTTTGCCTTAAATAGAATTATATTAAAGCTTATGTATTACCACAGTCAAACTGACGCAGCGCACAGCAGAAAGTAAAACGCCCTTTGGGGGGGAGTGTGGGGGGGGGAGCAGCTGCTTTTTAAAATGCAGCTTTATAACTGAGGCGCTGCAGGAATATAACTGTGTCATCCTGCCATTAATGGCCACATTGGACTTTTTATACTTTTTTTTTTACTTTTTTTGTACTGATAAGCTTATGGGACATTGAATGTGCTGCTTTTTATATTTTACTGAAAGAATAAAAAGCACTTCTATAGCTGCTGTTCCCTAGAACTTATTACTGCAGTGTTTATGTAAATTGTCTCTCGTATTAATTTGTAGTCGTTAAAGTTAAGTACTGATTATAAAGGTGCTTTTTTTACTTTATGGAAAGTTAGGGATACCACCGCTATTGGAACCAATAGATCAAACAGATTGTTCACTAAATGATAAAAGTTTCATAGGGCAGGAACAAGATCAGGAAGTTGACCAAATGGGATGAGATCAGGAAGTTGACCAAATGGGATGAGATCAGGAAGTTGACCAAATGGGATGAGATCAGGAAGTTGACCAAATGGGATGAGATCAGGAAGTTCTCATCCAAAGTGATGTGTGATGTACAGAGTAGAAACCCTGATGTTTGATATTTCTGTGGGTTTCCCACACATTTTCTTCACTCATCCAGCGTTTCTTGTTATCGTGTAATGCCCCCAGTAACGTGCCGTCTCTGTGTTCCATCGCAGGTACTACGGCGCCTGCTCTGCTCAACAGCACCTCCAACCAACTGTACCTGCATTTCCACACGGATATCAGCGTGGTGGCCGCCGGGTTTCACCTGGAGTACAAAAGTAAGCATTAGTGCCACTGTATCCACGTGCTTCGGCCGGCTGGGAAATTATAGCGTCCTCCTATTAGAATGAGAATGTTTCTGATGTCTGGTGATGCCACTAGCAGAGTATGGGCTCTAGATCTGTCCCACACTGACATATAGGCTGGAAACTGGAACTGGCTGAGCTGCCCTTGCCACGCGCTGTGCACTGGAGTTACCTGGGACCCATTGCTTTGCTTATTGGATACTTTTGATTTCAGAGTGTAAGGGTGTAGCCGGCCGGTGCACGGAGAGTCTGAAGCAGAGTTTTGAGTGTGTTTGGTTTAGTCCATCCCCTTTGAGGTTCCCTAACATTTAAAGGTTCCTACCTGCAGATGGCCATCTCATAAGTCAGCTGTCCTCTTCACGGCATCATGTGCTCATGGTTTCTGGAGTTAAGGGCCTTAATGGTGATGAAACGGCATTTCCATAGTGATGGGTGGGTTTTGGCCTGTGCACAGCTCCTGTCTGGAGAGTGCGTTTGTAAACGTGACAGATGCAGGCATCTCTCTCTCTCATACTTATGTTAACCTGCTTAGCTGTGCTGCTTCACTAGGATCTTACTGGTCACTTCGTGCGGATATCCAAACCACAGTCCATCTCTGCTCTCGGATGGTGACGCCTGCACTTGGCATTTCAGTCTGTCAGCCCGTATCACAGAAAGCACACGCCAGTGGAACCAAGTCCGTTTATCAACTTGAATGACAAGCAACCATTTCCGTCATTTAGCCACATCAGCAAGCTGCTTTTTCTGACAGTGTCTGCAAACAGCAGTGGCTTTGTTATGCTCACATCCTTTCATTATGCATCCAACGGTGTCCATGGCGGATTTTCACGTTCTTGGGTGTCTTGTGTATGCAGCGATGGACCATGGAAGCCAGAGATAAGACATATTTGAGAATATGATGCTGCATCCTGAGAGGGCCTCAAGAAACATGTATCCCCCAAAATGATGGAATTCACTGCGGATTCACTATGACAATTGTTACAGAATCAAGTAGCGTTAGGATGAAAATACCTACAGCTTTGCAGAAATCTCCAGGCATTCAGAGTTTCAGCTATTAATACACACAATAGGGCCCTTAAACGATATGACCCTGTCATTTCACACTTCACTATCAAAAGCTTTTCACAGCCTTAAAACCCTCCAGTGGTTATGACTTTAAGGAGAATGTCATCAGGGACGTTATCGCACACGGTCCACAGGTAATATGGCTGCCAGTCATCCCGATCCAGCCGTTAAAAATGACTGACATGCCAGGTTCCTGTTCTGTTGGTCTATGACTCATCAGTTAACCACATCGATTAATGTCTTTACATTTCGTACTTGATGACTCTCTCCAGCTAATGTGAAACATAAAGGAAATAGTTTACAAAGTATGGATCTGGGCTTGGATGGGAATTTGTGCTTTCATTAATGGGAGACGAGGATTCCACGTGAATGGGACACAGGCTTCTTCTAATGATTTCCACATCCTTCGTCAGGGAGAAAAGGGATCACAGACATACAGCTGACCACCAGCACACGCAGTGATACTTACTAAAGCATCTGTACACCTGAAGCTCTGAATTAAACCAAATGACAGCTTAGTGGACTTTCCCCGATGTCTTCTCTGTGTAAAAATAAGTCTCAGTTATCTCACTTCATGATGGACCATGTTTGGAACAGAAAGGTGGGGAGTCACAGACTTATAATTATGAGTCAGCGGAGGAATCAGCAGGGAATGTTGAATGTATAACAAAACATATACTGTATTACTGATTAGCCGTTACACCACATTCTTCCAGAATGTTCTGTTGTGCTTTCTGCAGTTTTTCTTATCCATTCCTAAATCTGCATGCTTGGTGTGAAATACTGTTGGCTTTTACTTAAGAGGATTTCCGCTTTCTGGCTGGGGAACTGTTTGTGTTTGTAGCTTCCAAAGTGAGCCAAAATACAAAATGTTAGGCATATATTAAGGTCAGTTTGTAAATATTGTGTTTTGAGGAAGGTTGGTCTTTAAAAACCTGAAAGTCCATCCTGAAACTAAGCTCAGTCCCCAATCACAGCTGAATGCAGATTGGAATTTTATTATTTCATCGTTTCCTTTATCATTTGTTATCTCGGCAATCCCATTTTATTGATTGGTTCCTCACAAAAGCTTTCGAAATAGTTGATATTTGTGGCCCTAGCATCAAGAATCCAGAACTGCAGTTCACAAGTGCGATGAATATATAAGCAACAAGTGGAGAGCTATGCCACATTGGGATGGATTAATATGAGGGCGATTAAGCCGCAGGCGACGACTCGGTCCGAGGGCGATTAAGCCGCAGGCGACGACTCGGTCCGAGGGCGATTAACCAGCAGGCGGCGACTCGGTCCGAGGGCGATTAACCAGCAGGCGACGACTCGGTCCGAGGGCGATTAACCAGCAGGCGGCGACTCGGTCCGAGGGCGATTAACCAGCAGGCGACGACTCGGTCCGAGGGCGATTAAGCCACAGGCGATGACTCGATCCACCACATCTCATGACTCCAAATTTGGAGTCGTAGGTGCGGAAAAGTAGCTGCCCTGAAACACCAAGTGACAGTTGGCTGGTTCCGGACCAGGGAGCTCAAATGCTCATTAATATTCATGTCGTCACTGGTGTTGGACAGCATGTAGCTATGCTGAAATGTCCATATGTCAGCAGACTTGGCAGGGCCCACAGCTGGCAGACAGCACCTCATTTCTGGGGGGATGCGTGGAAAGAAGCCGGGCAATGTGACCTCCACTGGAGAGCATAGGAAACCTCGCACCTACTTTTTAGGGGAGGTGCTCTCCGTCTCATTAGGGTCGGGGGAACGCCACCTGATCCTGGAACAGCTGGAATGCAGAACCATTTTTCCCTGGAAATGTCATGATAAGCAATTAAAAAATTTGTTAATTATAATTATGGTACAGCTGTACTATCACTAGGCTTGTGGAACTGGAAAAGATGAAGACAGTGGGAGTGAATACAGGTTACACACTGATATTAAGTAAAGCATGAGTGAGGCAGTGGTAACACACTGAGCGTGCAGCCATTTATGGCGAGGAGGGTCTCACTTGTTTTCCGTAGCTCTGCGTGTTCAGTCACGCCTCTGATGCCCTTTTGTTCTTCCTCAGTCACTGGTTTCGTGCTGTAGTGATGGCTCTTAGTCGGTGTTTTTGATTGGAGGCCACAGCGCCACCTCTCTTTCCCTCTGGTCATTGCAGCTGTGGGGTTGACGACGTGTCCGGAGCCGGTGGTGCCTGCCAACGGGCTGAAGATGGGGGACAGATACATGGTGAACGAGGTAGTGTCATTCAGCTGCGAGCCAGGCTACGTGCTGCAGGTGGGTGTTGCCACGGGGGGAACTGCCAGTGGAGGGAGGGGGGGGTGGTTTATTGAGTGACTGAGCAGCTGAATGTCCACCCCCCCCTCCCACAGGGCCACTCCCACATCTCCTGCATGCCTGGCACGGTGCGGCGCTGGACCTACCCCTCCCCACTCTGCATCGGTAATACCTCCCGCCACTGCCCACCCCTTCCTTCCATAGGGTGCTACTGTGCCTCACTCTAATGCCCTCCCCTCCCCATTCCAGCCCAGTGTGGGGGGACCCTCCATGACCTCAGCGGCATCATTCTGAGCCCCGGCTTCCCTGGCAACTACCCCGGCAACCTGGACTGCACCTGGAGGATCCTGCTTCCGGTTGGATACGGTGAGGGGCGGGCAGAGGTGGCACCCGCACGCCGCACTGCCGCACGCCGCACACAGCACTGCCGCACGCCGCACTGCCACACTGGAGTGTCTGCAATGCCAGCCGTTTGCCATTAGCCTCTTAAGCTCCTTGGCCTCCATCTACACCCTGGCTGTGCCATTTCCCCCCCCCCCGAGTGGACCCATCTGCATCTGCCCCCATCCTCCGTGGCTCTTTCCCAGAGGTGGATAGTTCAGGTTCACAGAGTAAAAGCCCAGACAAGGACTTTCTTTCAACCAACCAGTTGAGTACTGTGTGACTGTGACTCTTTATATTCAACTTGTTGGTTGAAATAAAATCCTACTCTGCCCTTCCCGTGTGGATTCTGTACCCCAGTGTGGGATATTTGACTGGATTAGCCAGCGAATGAGGAATGAAAAGCAGAAATCCAAAGAG